TTTTTTTTTTTTTTTTTTTTTTTTTTTTTTTTTTCATTTTGTTAGTGTTTATTGTACTTTTGGAGAAAAATCTCAAGTTTTAAAATTAGATTAAAATTTTTTTTAATCAAGATATAATAGGTTTAATTTAATTTAAGTAAAATCGTAATTGTTATAAATATGACCGAAACAAACTGGAAGTACACTTTAGTCATTATGAATACTCTGCAGAATCCCTGAAACAAAAAGGCGTGTGTTTTTAGTTATAGTTTAGGTTTTTATCTCATAAAAACTGAATATGCAGCTGAAACAGGATTAATTTTGTTTGTTTATTTATCTTATTTTCAGGTGAAGTATAAAGAAGCGGGAAAGAAGGAGGCTTCCAGCTGCCTTTACGCTCTGCTGCCTGCGACTCTGGAGACTCAGCTCGCTAAAGAGAGCGCAGAGCTGCTCAGTGACGTGAGAACAGCTTACAACATGTTCAAACTGGCTGTTAAACAAACCACAATGTCTGACCTAATCTTGTTTTTAATGCAAATCTCAGGTGAAGTACAAGGAAAGTGCCAAGAAGGAGATGTCCGCCGCTCTTTACTCCACTCTGCCTGAAACTTTAGAAACCAGCTTCAGCAGAGAGATGAGCGACGTTTTGAGCGAGGTATCAAACCCACAGAAACCATCTCTTGACTTCAAACCAAGTCATTATTTATTTTTTTAAATTAATTTAACATTTAAGAAGTCACCATAATTCCTGCAACGAGCTGCAGTTTTATATAGTCTGTTATAAACGCAGCATCACAGCTCTGATTATCCACAGAGACGATCAAAGAGGTTATCTAAGTTTCAGACCTTTTTAATTATAACGTTAAAGCTGCTGCGCTGATTACATCATTAATGAGGCTGTCAGCTTCGATGCAAGATGACACAGTTATTAGTTCACCCACAACTGAAAAACTGATGTGACAAGTTTTAACATCTAAAGCAAATGTCACCCAGCTGAGCTGTCCAGAGAATATATTCTTCTTAGTTTTTTGTGTTTTGTGACAGATTAAATACAAAGAAAATGGCATCAAAAGTCTCTCTCAGAGTCTCTACAGTCAGCTGCCAGAAACGGCTGAGATGAAATTCGCCAAAAACGTCGCTGAGCTGCAGAGCGAGGTGAGAAACTACTGGAAATGTGTTTGTTTTGTTGTTGTGCCCTGCTAACAAATGAAAATTTGTGCTGTAAAATAAACTAAGTTTGAGGGCTTTAAAAATACCAACCACAAATTGTTTAAAATAATTTAAAATTTACTGCTAATCTTAAACTGATTCCACTGCTGCACTCCAAGGTTTATTTACAATAACATACCTGCCAACGTTTACTGATGGCAATGAGGGACACCTACTGTATATGTATTCACGAGCACCAGGGATGCGAAGAAGTTGGGGGGTCCATCCATCCATCCATCCATCCATCCATCCATCCATCCATCCATCCATCCATCCATCCATCCATCCATCCATCCATCCATCCATCCATCCATCCATCCATCTATCCATCCATCCATTATCTTAACCCGCTTCTTCCTTTTTTGGGTCCCGGAGGTCACTGGTGCCCATGTCCAGCTATCACTGGGCGAGAGGCAGGGGACACCCTGGACAGGTCTCCAGTCCATCACATAGAGACAAACGAGACAAATGAGACAAACAACCATTCATTCTCTCACTGACGCCTAGGGACAATTTAGAGTTACCAGTCAGTCTAACAAGCATGTTTTTGGTCTGTGGGAGGAAACCGGAGTACCCGGAGAAAACCCACGCACGCACGGAGAGAACATGCAAACTCCACCCAGAAAGGCTCTCGGACCGGGACTTGAACCGGGGCAACCTGCTTGAGGCAGCAGCTCTACCAATTGGGCCACCATGCTGCCCTGGTGGGGTGGGGGTGGTTCCTTGTCCTAAATTCCCCAGGACACACAAGCAATATTTAATCTAATAAGTAAAGATTTTCAACCTAATACATTATGGTTGATGGTTGAATCAATGAATAAACATATAAACATACCTGAACGTCAACGACAAAATGTTTATCCTGTTTTTTTTCCGAGCGTCTTGCCGATTACATTTTTTTCCCCAAGCTCGCTTTGCATTAATGTAGATTTGTGGCAGTTTGTGATATCAGAAATATTTCAAGGGTTTCTGAAAGCTGAGAAAATGTACTTTACAGTCAGTTGGCATATTACAGTAATCTTGCCCCCGCTGTTGCAGGACACCCTCAAAACAACCCTACTATATCCCTCCTCCCACACAAGCACAACTTGAATAGATTAGTCCAGTCACCTCTTGTCACATGCTGGACATGTGAATGTCCCACCCTCCTTATGTGGGACATGGGACAAGAGGGCAAATCTAGGACTGTCCTAGCCAAACTGGGACAGCTGGTAAATAGATAAATATAATCTAGTTATGTACCTTATCAGTTGGCAGGTGCAATAAAAGCATCACAAGTCTTTTTTTTTTTCAAGTACTGTGGAAGTGAGTTGAGGATCTTTAACTTTAAATCAAAAGAACAATATACAGGCATTGTTTAATAATATAAATGCAAATGAAGCTTTTATAAAAATAAGAATAATTTACAGTTTGTTATGAAATTAAAGCCGATAAATAGTTGGATTAATTGCCACAGTTTCAGTTTTAAAAAGTTCCTTTTTAGGGTTCATTCTTTCAGAGTTAAAGAAATAGTTGGTTAAACTTTGCTGCTTGTATTCATTTTAGATGAAATATAAGAAGGGAAGGACAAAAGTGTCGCGCTCTCTGTACTCCACTCTGCCTGAAACTCTGGAGACGCGTCACGCTAAAGAAGCTTCTGAACTTCAGAGCGAGGTAAAGTTTCAACATTTTTATAAGGAACTTTGTTTGTTCAGCACTTGATTCAAAGTTATTTATATTCTGTAACTATATGTACTACAGTATATATTAAAAATATGCTGATGTGGTTTCAGGATTCAGATGAAGAGGTTTTACAGTTAATTTATTTTATATTCTCATTTATTTTTCTTATTTTATTCTATTTTTTAATTCTTATTCTCATTTTTGTCATTTGTATTTTCATTGAATGTCTTATTCAAAATTTTAATCTATCTTATATTTATTCATTACTTATTATTGTTTTCTTTTCTTTTTTTTTGTCTTTTCTTCTTCACGTTTTTGTCTTCTTCATCTTGAAAATAAAAATGTATATAACTTTATCATTAGAGATTATGGTCACTGAGTTCACCTTAAGTCTTAAGGTGATATAAATATTTTTTGGACCATCAAGAGCTATTGGGGTTGTTATTTTTTTAAAAATCACCATGCTATTGTTTAACCTGACCCAGTTATTATTCAATGTGAACATCCATCCATCCGTTTTTAAGCACATTAGGAATTGAGTCGTGTTGTGTTGTTGATTGTGATTTAAATATACAATTTTTTTTTTTTTTATTTGCTTGTTTATTTATTTTGGTGTTGGTCAGTCTTGATTGTGATAAAATGAGAAAAAATCTTGATCTTGTGACTAAAATAAATCCATGGACCGAGTATTGAACCCTGTGGTACACTATAATGAGTTTATTGTGTGTTTGAGCTATTCTGACTCGCTTTGGGATGCACATTCATGCTCTCATCTACATTCAAGGGGTTTTGGATCATTTTCATTGTTCTTGTTTGTGTTCAGCTGAAGTACAAAACACCTCTGAAGAAAGATCTGTCCTCCAGTCTGTTCCACCAGCTACCAGAGACGTTAGATACTGTCCATGCTAAAGAAGTGTCTGAGCTGCTCAGTGAGGTATCAGCAGAACTACTAGAATTGGGTTTATTAATTGGAGGATAAAACTGGACCTCAAACCTGGCATATTTTGCATTTTTCTCAGGTGAAGTATAAAGAAGATGGCAAGAAAGAGATGAACCTCAACTTGTACTCTCTGCTGCCTGAAACCATCGAAACCCAACGAGCTAAAGAAGTTTCCGATCTGCAGAGTGAGGTACACAGCACAAGTTACTTTAAGCCATTTTCACAAACTTTGCTGCCATTAACATTTTAGCAAAACAAAACCTTAGATTTGTAAAATTGTTGCAGAGTTGTGGGGTTCCTCAGGGTTGGGTTGTAGGGCTTGTTGCAGAGTTGCGGGGTCCCTCAGGGTTGGTCATAGGGCTAGTTCTGGTTTTATTAGATAATGGTCCCTCTATTATTGTTTGAGAAGAACTTGGTGATTTTATTTAAGAAAGATGCCGTATGATTAAACTTTTAAATCTGCTCACATCTCCTTCAGGTAAAATATAAAGAAGGCGTGAAGGAAAAGATTCAGAGCAGTTTGTACCATCGGCTGCCTGAAACCACCGAGACACAGCTGGCTAAACATCTATCTGAGCTACAGAGTCAGGTACAACCAGATACCAGTCACCTTCGTAAGCTTCTGTATGATGTTAAAAATATTTAAACCTACCTCTCATCCATGTGATCTTCACAAAATAATTAAATACTACTACTACTAATAATAAATTAACATTTGAATAATTAAATACATTTATTGCAGTCTAAACACCAGAGTCTTTTTGCAGTTCTTGTAACTTGTATTATTTGTGTATGAACCTGTTTAAATCCTGCTTCTATAGTAAAACTCCTCAGACTGTGTTTATTTTAATTTGTAGACAAAGTACAGGGAAGCCGGTTTGAAGGAGGTGAGTTCCTGTTTGTACTCTCAGCTGCCCAACACCATGGAGACGCAGAGAGCTAAAGAAGCTGCAGATCTGCTCAGTGAGGTGACAAATTAATAGTTTACAAAACAAGAATTAAAAATTAAAATGTAAGCATGCAGGCTGACAGATAACATTCATCCATCTCAACAGATTAAATATAAAGAAAGTGGGAAGAAGGAGATGTCCAGCTCCCTGTACTCGACTCTACCCGACACGATAGAAACCAGCTTCGCCAGAGAGATGACCGACCTCCAGAGCCAGGTAAAAAATACCTTTTTAAAAATTGTGGTTTAATAACAACAACAAAAAACCAGCAACAGTTTTACCTCAGGAGGATCCTACCTCTAGCACAGCAAACTGAGGTCAGACTAGCACTCAGATAAAACCAATAAAAATATTGACATTAAAATAGACAATTTCCCAAGTTCACTTATTTACAGTTTGTCTTTGATTAATTGGTTCTAATTCATGTTTTCAGGCATAGGTTCCTCTCAAGTTATGAGCTAGTCTGAGTTATCGGAACATCACAAATGAAAATGTTGAGTAATATAATGCCATCCCCCACTTGCCATTATTCCTGACAGATTTGTGTAAATCATCGGCTTCAAAAATCCCGTGTTTGACTGCTAGTGAGTCTTTTATTATTATCTTCAGATTATTAAAACAAATTATTCACTCTAAGAAAAATAAACATCAAATCTGCTTTTCTTATAAGATATACAATAACAATAACATTGCTTTCTACTATTAGTGCTTAGTGTCTTCTTAGTTTAGCGTATTTCTTAGTTCATATCTTAGATTTTACTACTGTTTTTTCTTTACAATTTGCTTTTTGTTGATTGTAACTGGGACCCTGAGTTTCGTTCCACCTCATGTACCACTTGTGATGTGTGTGAATGACAATAAAGACACCTTGACCTTGATAAAGTGTCATCAGTAAAATACTGGTAAAGTACTATTAGTTGTGTATTTCTAATGTTAAAGATTTTTTTAAACGTTTGAGAATAAATAAGTCCCATTAGCAGCACGATGGCTCAGTGGTTAGCACTATTTTCTCACAGCAACCAGGTCCTAGGTTCAGTCCCAGGCTGGACCTGGGACCTTTTTGTGTGGAGTTTGCATGTTCTCTCCGTGCATGCGTGGGTTTTCTCCGGGTGCTCCAGTTTCCTCCCACAGATTAAAAACATACATGTTAGGCTGCCTTCAGACCCAGGCCTCCCTTGCAAAAGAGATTTGTGATCTCAATAGGATTTGCCTGGTTAAATAAGGTTAATAATTTGAACTACCATTTAATTTGATGCCCTATGATGGACTTGCGACCTGTCCAGGGTGTACCCCGCCCCTCGCACAGTGATTGCTGGACATGGGCACCGGCGACCCCCGTGACCCAAAATGGAAGAAGCGGGTAAACGATAATTGATGGATGGATTTAATTGGATGTGTTAGACTCATTCAAATAAGCCGAGTCATACTTTATTACTCAAACATTTTACATTAATTAAATTAACATTAGTTCCCCCAGAATGCTGGAGGGGGTCCAGGATGTGCATCAACTGAAAGTGGATATCTTCTTAAATGAAATACATGGAGCTGCAGCTCGAATGCTGTTTGATTAGTTATAAATAACCTGGATTACCTAATTCTGTCTGATGTTTATGGGCTCAGAAACACATCAGAGGTCTGATTAGCATCAGAACCAGGATCAAAGAGAATCACTGGCTGTTCTTAAAATTCATTCAAGTATTCAGTCACAGGAAGGTGGAAAAAAATAATATTTAAAGTAATTTTAAAGCCAAATAAAAGTGTTACACTGAAGTGAAAGTATTTATGAGCTATAATTATATTTAATTTTGTATTTTCTTCCAGAACAAGTACAAAGAGGATGGGAAGAGGAGCCTCTCTCAGAGTTTTTACTCTCAGCTTCCAGAAACTGCAGAGACCCAGTTTGTTAAAACAGTTTCTGATCTGCAGAGCGAGGTGAGGTCCAGGTCCACGTCCTCATCAAAGTTCAGCTGTTTTAGCTTTAGCTTCATGTTACAGAAAAATTCTGCAGAGCAAAGAAAGTTTTAGCACAGAAGAACTTTCAGGCAGATGTTTGTGTGAAACTACCAGTCATGTTGAGTAGAACAAGGAAAAACTAAATAGAGCTGCTATCTAGGGCGCCCGGGGGAGCAGTTGGTGGGGGTTAAGGGCCTTGCTCAAGGGCCTAGAGCGGGGCAAATGAGGATGGAGGCAGATGTGGGTGCTTCATTTTTCCCACCTACATTTTGATGTTGTCGGTACTGGGAGTTGAACGGGCGATCTTCCGATCACAGGCCCACCTTCTCTAACCTCTGCACCACCACTCCCTAGCAAACTGGTAGCGAAAAAGCTAATTGTAACAACAAACTTTCTAAAATTTGAGCATATCAAAAACAAAGAGTCAGAATGATGAAGCAGATTTCAAAGAAAACATTGTTTTGAAGGAACAGAAGAGTTTTCTGTGTATTTCAGTAAGAAACATATTTGTAAATAAAGTTAAATTATTTTAAAACAAAATAAGTAAAAAAAATCACAGCTCCTATCTCCTTAATGAGTTGAACATGTTTGAAATATAAATACCTAAAATAGCACAAAGTCTGTAGAAGTAATGATAGCAAAATAAATAAATAAATAAAAATAAAACAGGAAAACAACAGTGTCAATGCTGAGTCAGCGTTCATTCACACAATCGAAATCAGTCTGACCAAAGTCAGTCATCAGATATGCAGATGACTCACAGCTTTATTTTAAGTCTTGTGTGACTTCTAGAAGAAAAAAGTGCTACAGATAAATATGAGAGTAGTTTTAAAATGGGAGGTTAATGATTTTGTTTTGTGTTCAGCTAAAATACAAAGAAGCAGTAAAGAAAGAAGTGACAAACTCTCTGTACTCGACTCTCCCTGAGACTCTGGAAACTCAACACGCTAAAGAGGCATCGCAGCTGCAGAGCCAGGTAACCACAGTAACACTGTGAGAAAGAGTCACATACACTAAATACATCCATACGTACTGTTTTCTGGCAAATCATACAACATAAACAACATTTGCAAAAAAAAATTTCAATAAAAAAACAGAAAAATGTCCTGAGACAAATAAGTCGAGAAGCAAAATTCATCCCTCTTTGGAGCTCTACAATTTAAACAGACTTCACAACAGAAACATCATTCAGAGTTTAAACAGGCCTCAGAAACTTGACTGTACTGTTGTTTGATATAATTAATGTTTTTTTTGTTTGTTTTTGTTTTTCAGAATCACAGTTTAGGTTTTAGGATTTTTTGACATTTTATAGAATTTTCAGCTCAGAGTGGAAAGATGTTACACATTAGCATTTGAGCTGTCTAAACAATCCAATTTTTTCAAACTCTTCATATTTATATAATATTTACCCTCATGCAGTTTATATATTCAAAAGTAGCCATTTGTCACTTCTATAGGACTGATGGCTTTCTCTCAAATCCCCTCAGAGTGCAGAGCAATCACACCCAAACTCCCATTGACTTCCACTATATTTATTATTTTACAACTACCAGTAGAGGCTCATTTTCTAGTTTATATTTCTGTCTTCCCATCTGGTGAAGAGTGCTGCTGTGTGCCTCTTTTTTTGACTCCTCAGGAAAAAGCGGGAATCACTATGACAACCAGTGACACAGCATTAACTGAGTTGCAGGATTTTTGAGCAGTGTCTGCTTCGGTGCCCTTCCAAATTAAATCATAATTGTTGGCAGCTGTCTTTGTAATTTGCATATCAGATTTTATGACTCGTCATTAAATTTAGCTGATGTTTACGAGCTTTAATTGTTTGTCCTACAGCTGACGTACAAACAGAACCAGAACAAAGACGCCTCCAGTCTTTACCACCTGCTGCCAGAAACCATTGACACTCAGTTTGTCCGACAACAGACGGAGCTGCTCAGTGAGGTTATGATTGTTTCTCATGACCCTTTTCATGCCGTAACATCTAACCATCACCATGTAAATCTGTTTCTGTCCCTGTAGGAACATTTAGAGGTAAATACATGTCCGTGTTCTCTGTTCTCCCCCCACTTGTTCTGTTTTGTCGGTGTAAAAGGTCAAATACAAAGAAGACGGGAAGAAAGAGATGAGCGTGAATCTTTATTCTCTGCTTCCCGACACCCTTGACGCTCAGCGGGCCAAAGAGCTGACCGAGATGCAGAGTGAGGTGGGTGCACTGAAAACACATCAGATTATCTTTCATTTTTACAGGTCTGGTGATAAATTAGATTCAAAATGTCTCTGCTTTGGTGGATTTGTTTTTGTTCCAGCAGCATTAAAGGGTAGTTTTAGCTGAGGAAGGAAAAACACGCAGAAGCTAAAGCAGAAATAGATATAAATGTATTTAGATTATTATTTATGTAAATTCAGTCATTTATGGAAAACTGCATGTTCAAATTTAAGCCTGAAATTTAGGATTTTTACAGTCTTAATGCTGTCATTCTGCTACTTTTAGCTTTTAGCCAGTCTTTGCTTGTTTTAGCTTTTGCTTATCCTTTTGCTAGTTTTACTATTCAACAAGCCTCTTGATACTTTTAGCTTCTGTGAAGTTTTTTATACATTAGACTTGCAGTTGGAAGCATTCTGATAATTTTAGCTTTTACTTACCTTCTTACTACTTGAGTGTTTAGCTAGCCTTTTGCTACTTTAGCTAGCTGTCCCTTTACTTTTAGATTTTAGCCTATTATAGCTTTTTGGCTTCTGGCTAGCTCTGTTATACTTTAGGTTTCTAGCTTGAGGCCTTTACTACATTTAGTTACTTTTAACAAGACTTGTTACCTCTCAACTAGCTTTTTGCTAGTTTTAGCTTCTGTCAAGCCTTTTTTATACATTCTAGACTTCTAGTTGGTAGCCTTTTGATAAGTTTAGCTTTTACCTTTAGTTTTTAGCTAGCTTTTTGCTGCAGTAAACATTTAGTTAGTCATTTGCTCTTTCTAGCAATAAACTACTGCACTGGTACTTTTAGTTTTTAGCTATCATTTTACTGCT